CGCTCTAGCGGCCGAACAAAATGCTGACCCAGAACGGGTACCCTCGCCATAAACCGTAAGAACTCCCCCACTAGGGTCTCGTATGGTCACCAACTGTCGCTCGCAGTCGATAACCGCTCCAAACCTGCTCAACCAGTCCATGCCCACGATGACACAGACATCTCCCATCGCAATCGGGACCAAATCAATCGGAAACTCAACGCCGAAGATCTCGAGTACACATCCTCGAATCACATCAGTGGCATACACCGCTCTCTCGTCAGCTATGGAAACTCGCAAAGGTCGACTCAACGCCTCTCGACAGATACTGATGTGCTGACTAAAGGCTAACGACAAAAAAAAGACCGACTCGCACCCGAGTCAAATAACACCAAAGCAGGTACAGAACTCACAAGAAATGTACCTACGCATATCATAATATAAGCATAACACCACAAACTCAAAATAAATAGATGAAAGAATACATACCAGCCACAACATCTGGCGCTGTGCGGACCTCCTCCGCTTTCAACTGGAAGGCTCTCCCTCGTGCCTTCGGCGCCTCGGCCTTCACCGGCCGACTCTCGGTAGCTCGAACAGCAACAGGGGCGGATCGCTGTGATGCTCCCTGTGCTGATCCCTGCAGCTGCGGACACTCGGCCTTCCGGTGTCCGGTCTGGTTGCAGTGAAAACAGACTGCAAACCCCTTGGGGCAATCCTTGGCCAAGTTCCCCTCCTTGCCACACTTGTAGCAAGACCCTGCTCTGCAAACCCCCTCATGACTCTTGCCGCACTTGCCACAAGTGCGGCTCTTATGGTTCCCTGATCTCGAATCGGCGAGCTTGGCCCGCTTGGCTGCCGGCTGGGACTGTGCCGGTCGCCGATCCCTCCCTTGAGACTCCGCCTCCTCCCTGGCCTGAGTCTCGAGCTCAATCTCCCTCTTCCGGGAATTTGCCTGAAGCTCGGCAAATGTCCGGTACGACGAGTTCGCCACGAACTCGCGGATGTCTCTCCTCAAAATGCTCAAATACCGACTCATGCGTGCCTGCTCGGAAGACACATGCTCAGGGCAGAACATCGCCCTCTCATGGAACATCTTGGTGATCACTGTAACAGACTCGGTACCCTGCTTGAGGGTCAAGAACTCCTGGGCCAAACGTCCCCCTTTCCACCGGGGAACGTACTCATCACGAAACATAGCGGTGAACCTCTCCCAGGTCACCGCGGCAAGCTCTGCAGAAGAGTAGTGCGCTGTCACAAACTTCCACCAGTCCTTCGCTCCCAAGCGAAGCTGGTTCAGCGCGAACCGAACTCTCAGATGCTCCGGACAAGAACACGTGTAGAAGCATCCCTCAATATCAGAAATCCATCTCATCGCAGAGATCGGATCCTGCGTCCCATCAAACTCTGGTGGCTTCGTGTTGCTGAACTCTCGGTACAGCAACGAGTCACCCCCTGCGGTCTCGCAGCAGCGACGGCTGTGGTGGCTGCAACAACAGTAGCATCAGTAAGAGCAGCGTAACGCTCATCAAAAGTCTCGATCAGGGTGGTCTTGGTAGACCCAAACATCTCTGGTATCTCGGCTCGGATGGCAGCAGCCACCTCCTCATGAATCAACCTACGGATCTCCTCATCACTGGTACCACTGGTACCACTGCCTCCTGGGTGGTGGCGCGTCCCAGCCATGATATCTCTGAAATACAACACAAAAGAAATCAGAGACTCGCTCGAGTATACTCGCACTCGATACCCAACCCTACTTTCTCTTTAGTACCCTAAGGATTCTTACTTGGACTGCTCACCGATCCGATGTTTCCAGTAGTACAGGCCCTTATACTACCTTCCACAGCGCATCGGTATTCACCCCAAGTCCTCCTCCTAGGATCCCAGATCACAAGTACTCTATATCTCACTAAACTCAGGCTACTCTCCGGTAGACCACTCATAAGCTCCTCGCTGCTACCTACTTACTCTCGAAGTATCTCATAGTAGCAATAACTCCTAGGCTAAGGCATCACAAATCAGGCCCACTCTAGTTCTAACCATGAATACCTAGCCTACTCTAGCATGCATAACATACCACATAATATCTCATAACATATAATGTAAGGGTATTTTGGGAAATCACCGTTCGGGCGCTGGCTAATCGTACACACTGCTCTGCTCTGCTCTTTTCAAAATCCTTTTACTCTTTTAGAAAAATTTTGTTTTATTTCGAAAAATTCCTCAAATCCTCAGTTTGAGTTCAAATGCGCTCGAAGGTGCATCCGAATCCCTCAAACCAAGGCTCTGATACCAACTTGTAACACCGTAATTTTTCAAACAATTTTTCACTTTTAAAGATATAATTTCATTCATAATATTCTCAAATCTCAATGTATCACATCTCAAATCCATAAAAAACACATCCCAAGATCAAAATGTATAAAACTCCAATAGTGTGTACTGATCATGTCGGCGCCTTCCCGCGATCCTCACTGGTACCTGAAACACATAACACAAAACACTGTAAGCATAAATGCTTAGTGAGTTCCCCAAAATACCACATATAACACATATTATCCACTCGAGGCTATAACTCTGTGGGCCCACTGGCCCTAACTCTGTGGACCCTCTGGTCCTAACTCTGTGGACCTTCCGGTCCTAACTCTGTAAACTCTGGAATACACACAGCATAAATCACATAGAAATAATGCAGTGCAATACATCACATACATAGCATACAAGATACTCTGTCACATAACTCTACTTACCACTCAAGGTAAAGTATAGTGTAAAGACTCACCTCGGGTAACTCGGTAAATCTCGAACTCGGTAAAATCTGGTCTAGCCCCCGCCTAATCACATGGAATAAGCACTCTAATCAATACAACCCTCAAGGCTAGACTAATACCTCTCTTAGTACTCTCAGAAGGGTAAAAGACCATTTTACCCCTCTCATGGCCCAAAGACCCTAACATTGACCAAACCCTAAAAGTCAACAAAAGTCAACGGTCAACTTTGACCAGACTCGTCGAGTGCACTCGTGTGACTCAGCGAGTACATGCATGTCCTCTTCGCCCCTGGTCCTCACTCGACTCGTTGAGTCAACCCTACACTCAGCGGGTTGTCACAGGTCGCGAGTCGCGAGGCAACCCGACTCGACTCATCGAGTCCCTTATGGGCTCGGCGAGTTCATCTCATGAAAACACTCAAAAGATCTTTTGAGGTCAGATCTGCTTCACCAACCAATAGATCCAACCTTCTAACACTCGAAAGTCACGTAAAGGTTCAAACTTTACGTTCATGCAATGCTTATAAGACCAAAAATGGAGAAATAACTTTTAAAATGGGGTTTTACTCTCAAGGCTTATAAGAAACCTCATAAAGCTGGAAGCTTGGGACCTTTTGGACCTCTCAAGGTCCAGATCTATCACCTCTACCCAAAGGGACCTCATATACTTCACAGTCTAACTCAAAATTGTGCAAATGAAACCCTGGATTCAAGGAATCTATCAAATACCCGAAATGGGAAGGAACTTGTACCTCAAAACGTGAATCTCAGTGTGAACAACACAGATCCAAGCTCAACAATCGATCTAGCTTGGATTTTCCCACTCCTTCTTGCAAGATCACACCAAAGGATGAAGAATTAGCCTCCAAAATGCTCTCTAAGCTCTCCTTTCTCTCTAGGGTTTTCACAGGGGAGTAGTGGCCGCAAATGACGGCCATAAGGGCCTTTAAATAGGGCTCAGGCCCTGAGATTTAGGGTTTCACTTTACAACGCGGACTCGCCGAGTCCACGCATCTACTCGTCGAGTCCGATCATTAAACCAGACTAGAATTCGCGTTCCTACTCGACGAGTCTGAGCGCCTACTCGCCGAGTCCCTCCCTAAAACTCAAGATAAATACTTAAAATAAGATACCTGGGAATCCGGATGTTACAAATAGTGTTGGATTTCCTCTTTGTAATGCTTCTCTATAGTATAACAAACAATATCTAACAAACTTAGTAAACATTAGACTTTAAATCCTTTTTATGTTGACAAGTAAATGTACCTGTCAATCATGCTTCCTGGCTGAACAAAGCTAGATGCATCAGCAACATGTATCCGGACTTTGATACGGGGCGAATTTGGACACCAGTCGAGGGTGAATTGCCTGCATGTTTCAGATGTTAGAGGAGGAGAAGGTTGTGAATCTTGCTTCTCTTGCAATGTTATTAGCGGTGGTGATGATCAAGCGCTCCACTCTTTAACTTTTGATGTGATGGGTACAGACAAAAGTTGTAAGAAACAAGATGATGCATATTATTGTCTACAGTATCATATTATAAAGTATAAACATAACTTCTAATTGAAAACTCAAAAATATAGTGAACAAAAAAAGAGAATATTTTGTTTACTCTTGTTCTCCCATCATCTACATCAATGTACACTGGAGTAGTTTGAAATGATAGGCGTGCAAGATCCTCAACCTGAGAAACAAGTATATAAATAAATAAATAAATATTATCATGATTTAATTTAAACAATGAAATAAACAGTTAAAATATACAAATGTGTATGAAAAAAGGTTTTACCTTCTTTGTTTGAGTTGCAGAAAAGAGAGCAGTTTGCCTTGTCTACACATTACAGAGAACCAAGTTCAGTTCACTAATGATACAAAAGTTAACTACCACAAGGGTAATATGGTCAGTTAGTTGAAGTGTTTGAAAGGGAATCAAAATGCACTTTTGGTTGTAATTTTTCTCTCAGGCATTTCATCATACAGTTGGCAAGCCCTAATTTGAGAAAAACTGAAATAGAAGAGATAAATGGAGAAACTACCGACTTGTTCAACGGTAGATAAAATTGAAATTTTCTTTTTTTTATTTAATTTAATAAATCGTAACTAACTTCGGCACCAAGTAAATTCTCTTCATTTGGCGTTTTCTTAACCACTTGTTTCTTCACCCCATATATTAAATACCTGTGTGCTCATTTCTTCTTCTGTATTCAGAAACACACAAATGGTTCATTCTACTCAAGTTTCTTCATCAATGGAGTCCTCCAGAAAGAGAAAATCACGAACTAGACGCGAAGGCCCAAAAGGGGTAGCAGATCCTCTAGCGAAATGGAAGGAATACAACAAGAAGATCGATAAATTAGATGAAAAAGCTAAACCAACACGTAAAGTTCCTGCAAAAGGATCAAAGAAAGGTTGCATGAAAGGTAAAGGAGGACCTGAGAACTTGAGGTGTAATTTCAGAGGTGTAAGACAACGAACATGGGGTAAATGGGTAGCTGAGATTCGAGAACCCAATAGAGGTAGTCGATTATGGCTTGGAACTTTCGGGTCAGCAGTTGAAGCTTCCCTAGCTTATGATGAAGTTGCCCGAGTCATGTATGGTCCTTGTGCTCGTCTCAATCTGCCAAACTGTCGAACCATGAGCGAGTATTATTCTGAATCAATGGTGCTTCAAGTTGCGACTCCACTACAACGTGTAGCAATTCTGAAGACTCCAAAAATGGGTCGGGTAGTCAAATGGTCAAAGATGATTATGAATCGAATAGCAACGAATCTCGTAATCCGCCATTGATGACGACTGGTAATAGCAAGCCCTAATTTGAGAAAAACTGAAATAGAAGAGATAAATGGAGAAACTACCGACTTGTTCAACGGAAATTGGAATTAAAATAAACCCTTAGTTTGCAAAATTAACCATAAAACTTCTTTTGATCTTCCAGCTTGTGAGAAAGGGGAATTCGAACCTTTGTTTGCGGTGGTGTTGGGAACGGCAACGGTTGGAACTTGGAAGAGTGTGTGGAGGTCGTGGTCGTGGTGCGATCTAGCAGATGTGGAGATAACCCATAAATAAAAATCAGTAAAAAAGGAAAAGTAAATCAAAGAAATACCAAAGTATTCAGACCTGGGCAATTAAGAAACCCGAAAATGATGAACATTGGCCAAAAACTCTAACATGGGAAATATAAATCAATGAACCCTTGGCGGTCTGAATCTTGAAGAGTTAATACTTGGGTGGCCTTCCATATCACGGTTCCTTGTTTCATCGATGCCTATACATCGGAACAGAACACACTACAAATATGGTGGTGTGAGTGACGGCTAGGGTTCTTGAGAGAGAACAAATGATTTTTTGAGAAAGCGTGTGAGAATGTCTTTGAAGATATTATGGAGAAAAGAATACGGAAAGAAGCAGGTCAAGGAATAGTGCAAGAACACTGTTGGCGAGTATTCTCAAGAACAGTAGAGATGAAGCAGGTGAAATCACAGCAGAGATGAAGCAGATGAATGGAAATCAGAAGCCTTTTTTTCTTGATTGAGATGATGAAGTCGAGAGATGGAGATGAAATCGTAACCTTGGATCTGTGATTGAGAAGTTGCACAACAGTGAGAGGAGAATGAAAGATGCGTCAAAACGCTTAGGGCAAAAAGGGTTGCGGGCTTTTCTAAATTTTTAGCTTTTCTTTTCCCGCTTGTAACTAAGGAACACGCGTTCATAAAAATTATAAAGCGACACCTACAGAGGACGCGCATTTAAGATACAGCGCCCTCCGTGTTTTTAATTTTTTTTTTCTTATGACACTAATTTAAGGGCACGCAATAATGCGTGACCTAAATCCTTAATTTTCTGAAGAGATGACACTTTTTTAATGTCACTCTCGTTTGCGTAACATAAATTAATGAGTGTCATGGTTTGCGCGTCGTAAAAGGCTGTTTTTCTAGTAGTGCCATTGTTGCAGAAAAGTTTGAAGAACTTGCTTGAAAGGGTTTTTCCAAAAAGGAGAAGAAGAAGAAGAAAGAGTTCGTCTAGTCAAAGTGCAGAAAGCGTAAAAGCTATCTTGGGAAGAAAAAGGGGGGTTTTATACCTCCGGATTTCAAAATTTATTGATATTGATTTAATTACAGCTGTTAAAGCTAAAAACCTTTGGGTTTTTACCATTATCAGATTAAATTAAATTAAATAATAAATAAATGTTTTTTCGGGAAAAGATGAGCATTTATTGTGTTGTAGGCCCATGATGACACGTCGTTTAATCATGGGCTGAGAAATGGTTTTGTCCATTGTAAAAATGGGGAAGTGGAACGGATTAGACCCCAACGGTTGCTTGATGTGGTTGGATGAGTGAAAAGGATTTTCAAAAAGATTTCATTTATAGAAAATCGGTTTATTTATTCTTTATCCAAAAATAGGCCTGAATGAGGAAAGTCTCTTGAAAGATGACTGAAAATCATGTGCAACAAATTGAATGTTTGAAGAATGTTTTAATTTCATTATGTAGCACATATTGTCATTTAAAGCATCTATGAGGTGATGACTGCGGGTTCATTAATGCGTCTGCAGGAAATGAGAGCTGAAGACAAACTAGATCATAATGGTTAGAAATAAAAGAAATAAAGAGACCCGAAGAGTATATAGATTATAAATGACTTCAGTATACAAAGTGTACTGAGGAGAAAGTATGAAATATATACTACATCAATTATTCTAGAAAGAAAAAGCAGTGAGTAAAGTGCTTCAAGAGTTTTGATTTTAAAAGAAAAGAAGCAGTTTATTCACACCCGAAGACCTAATAAGGTCTACGGTATCTATCCTTTCAAGAAGAACTGGGGGTCAGGGTTCATCATTCCTAACATTTCCAAAATTCCATTCATTTTTGTGGAGGCGAGTGCCTAGGTGAAAACGTAATCTATTTCCTCATGAGTTGGCACAAAATTAAGTTCAATGTTACCTTTTAGGATCTGGTATTTGATGAAGTTATGCCGTAGTTCTATGTGTTTCGTCTTCGAATGATGAATAGGATAATGAGAAATCGCTATTGCACTCTCTGAATCACAATAGATGGGTACCTGTAGCATCCTGTACCCGTAGTCCAAAAGTTGTGTCTTCATCCAAAGGACCTGAGAGAAACAACTGGCTGCGGCCACATATTCCGCCTCCGCGGTGGACAATGAAACACAATTTTGTTTCCTTGGAGACTAGATAACTAATCTTCCACCCAAGAACTAACATCCACCCGAAGTGCTCTTTCGATCAAGTCTGCACCCAGCATGATCTGCGTCTATAAATGCCTGAAAACTAAAGTCGTTACCCACAGGGTACCAAATACCCAAGGCTTTACTCCCTTTTAGATACCTGAAGATCTTCTTGACTGCAGTCAAGTGAGATACTTTGGGATCAGCCTGGTATCTAGCACATAAACACGTATCAAACACAATATCCGGTCGACTAGCAGTGAGGTACATCAATGAGCCAATCATTCCTCGATATATTTTGTGATCAACTGACTCCTCGGTAGCGTCAGCTGAGATTTTATACCCGAAGGCCATAGGGACCTTTGACGAGGAACAATTATCCGTTGAAAACTTCTTCAACAATTCAGTGGTGTATTTCTCGTGATGGATGAATATCCCTTGAGGGACATGTTTAACCTAAAGACGTAGAAAGAAATTAATCTCTATATTCATGCTCATCTGAAAATTGCTTGTCACGAGCTTTGCAAATTCATCCACCATTCCCTGATCCGTTGAGCCGAAAATGATATCATCCACATAAATTTGAACGAGCATTAAGTGTTTGTCATTTGATCATCTAAACAGAGTGGGATCTATCACACCTCTTTTGTACCCGGAGATGACAAGAAACTCAGACAGAGTCTCATACCAAGCTCTAGGTGCCTGCTTTAACCCGTAGACCGCTTTCTCCAGCTTGTAACAGTGATTTGGAAATTCTGATTTTTCAAAGCCTGGAGGTTGTTGCAGATACACTTCCTCTTCTAGTTTGCCATTGAGGAAAGCACTCATCACATCCATCTGATCGACCCTGATGTTTTTATGAGCTGCATATGCTAAGAAGATACGTATGGCTTCCATCCTTGCAACTGGTGCATATGTTTCGTCGTAATCAACACCCACGAGTTGACTATACCCCTTTGCAACTAAGTGTGCTTTGTTTCATGCTACCACACCGAATTCATCTAACTTGTTCTTGTAAACCCATCTTGTACCGAAAACAGTGTGACCTTTTGGCTGCGGTACCAATTTCCAAACTTTGTTTCGTTCAAACTCAACTAGTTCCTCTTACATTGCAATGATCCAATTAGGCTCCTGAAGTGCTTCTTTTGTGGTTCGAGGCTCGACCGATGACATGAATGTTGCATAATGACAATGGTTATTTAAATCAGAAGAGGAACGAGTTTAAATAACTGAAGATGGATTGCCGATGATTTGACCCGGTGGGTGATCTTTCGTCCAAATATGTAGACGAGATTGTTGATGGTCTGCGGCTGCATTTGAGGGAATATCCTCTACATCAGAGGAGTCTTCGGGTATGTTTGAAGGATGTAGTTCCCCCTCGATTTGAGAGCAACCCGCATATGAGTCTTGGACTGTTGGGATCAACTATGCAGCTGTTGAAGGAGGTTCCCCCTGGATTAAAGATGGGAGTTACCCCTGAACCAGTGACTTCGGTTCCCCCTGGACTGATGAGTGATTAGTAATCCTTGGATCCGTTCTTGTACTAATATTTTCAACTTCTTCAACCTCAGATTTTTCAGACACGGTTGATGGATTGAGCAGGTTGTGTATAGGTTTCGAAGTAGCATCTTCAAATATTGGAACCTCGATGGTTATAACTTCCAAAGGAGTTGAACTTTACCCCTCAACCGGCGATGCAGAAGTATTAAATGACGTTCCTTCAGACAGGATTGGTCCAGATACTTCTGCATGTTGTTGTTGTGCTATCGAAGACACCAAAATTTCTGAATGATGTGTTGTCTCTGCGGGATCGAAGAGGTCATCATAGTTAACTTCAACTATGTTTAATGGACCCGAGGAGGTTGGGATATCACTTTCCAGAATGAACTTTGTTTCTATTGAAGGAGCAGTGTTGCGGACATAATAGTCATTGAATTTGACGTCAAAGCTTTCGATTATTAGTCTGGTACGCCGTATAAGAACCTTATATGCAACCTTGTCAGTTGAATAACCCAGGAAGATGCCTTCATCAGACTTCGGTGCAAACTTGTTAAGATGATCCTTGTTGTTGACCACAAAACACCTAAAACCAAAAATGTGAAAGAAACGTACATTGAGTTTTCGATTGTTTAAACCTTCATAGGAATTCTTGTTGAGGCGTTTGCAAATGATGCTTCGATTCTGAACAAAGCATGCAGTTGCCATTTCTTCCATCTAGAAGTAGAGAGGTAAGCTGGAAAAATTAAGCATCGATCTAGCTGCTTCAACCAATGTTATATTCCTTATCTCCACTACTCCATTTTGTTGTGGTGTGTAAGCTGTCGAGAAGTTGTGGCTGATTCCCTTGGAGACTAAAAAGCTATTCAGGAGCTAATTAGTAAACTCAGTGCCATTATCACTTCTTATCCGTCTGACATGTAGTTTGATCTGAAGCTCTATTTCTTTGATGAATTTCATCATTATCTGCGGTGTATCTGACTTTAGTCTCAAGAAGAAGACCCAAGTGAAATGGGTGAATTCATCAACGATAACGAAAATATATTTCTTGTGGTGAAGACTAGCTACAGTTGATGGAGCACAACGATCAATGTGAATGAGGTC